CTTAATTGCAGCTTAATCCCTGTTTGAGGGACTCTCAGCCTGCGTCTTAAAAAGGCTAATACATTTTTCTTGTCTTCACTTTGTTCACACAGTCCACAGATTGGTTATCTCTTCCCCTGTATTTCAGCTCTTAGAGTATAAACTGGAAGGTTTGTAAAGAGATTTGGCCTTCTTAAACCCCTTTTATATAGAACTCACAGCCCAAACTGAAGTACAGTTTTCAAATGCTCACAGTCAGATTAATTTCTAACTGTCAGACCCTGGAGGCATCCTGTTGTGTCTCATTCCGTCGTGCGAGGCTGAAATCTGCTGCCAGTCAGTGTTGCATAGATGGGTTTGTCCTTCCTGGCAATGCACTTGGCACTCGCAGACCTCTGTCATCATGGGGTTGCTTCTACAGGAGAGTCTCGTCACCTGAAACCCTTTCACGCGGATTACTGAGATGTTAGAGATGAGCTGCAGTCTAGTACATAAAGCCACGTACGCTCTTTCCTAGCGTGTTGTAATGGCGGAGATCACTGCTGTGTTGGACTACTGGGCTGATGAGAGGTAGAAACCTTTCCCACAGTATGTTAGTCTATTACTATCTTAGGGAAAACAGTGTGTCCTTCAACAGAGTGGGGAAAAAACAAACAACCCCAGGAACCCAACACACAAACCCCAAAATACCACCATGTCCAACCCCCACAAAAAAACCAGCCCTCAACGTACCTCACACAGGGTCTGCACAAAGCTGCAAATCTGGTTCACGGTAGCAAGTGGATTTAAAAGAAAAAACTGCAACTACTATACCATGAGTTAGTGATTTGTTATGTGAGATCCATTTTGTCACAGTAGCGCAGCAAGAACAGAACTATGTGTGTTAATTGCTTAGTGCTGTAAACATCAGCCCTGGATCTCAGGTTTTCCCCTGAGAAGGAGTAAGTTACGTCTCAGGGACAGAGTTGGTACAGGCTGGCAAAGGCTGCTAAAGGGAACGCTGGATACTGCTTCTTAACATACTCTTTTTTCGTGTAAAATCTGTTTCAGCTAGAACCTGATCTGGTTCAGAATTACTGGTAGTAATCTATTTTTAAGCAGGCAGCCAGAAAAATGCATACATGTTACTGTGAGCATCTGTATGTCTTGAGTTGTGGAATGTGAGTATTGCAGTCCTCTGGATTAGCCTGGCTTAGCGCTTGATGCGCGGGTAGAAAACTTCAGGTATCTCTGGTGGAGTTAAAAGGTTGGTCTCTCATCCCATCCTCAGCTGCTTTTTCCCTGCTGCGCTGGGGTTTTCCCCTTGTCTCTGTCCTTGCACAGACAGACAGATGCTGAAGTTCATGTCAGAATTTTTACAGTACTAGTCATCTTGAAGTGCTGGACATCCTTCCTGCCCAACGGAACAGGGGTGCTTAGTTAACCCCTTTGACAGCCAGACTGTGAACTCGCAGATCTGTTTAAGCGGTTGTGGTTAGAGTTGGTGATTCACAGACCTTGATGGCTGGCCTGCAGTAGAGGGGGCCAAACTCCTGGTGCTTTGTCATCAGGAGCCATTAGATATTCTCTTTGAAGGGTTCGCGCAAGCAAGCGATCCATTTGTTCTTGATTTCAGATCAAGTTCACGTTTGGTCTGTTTTGCAAAATCCTGTTTGGAAAGGTTTCGTACTGAGGTAGCGGTTGCAGTACGGTAACGCATGTCAGTAAACCACTGCCCGCTGCTCCATGCTCTCACGCTAGCTCTGCACGACGTCAGCAGGAGCGTAGCGAGGCAGGTTTGCCTCTGCCGCAGCTGTGACAGGGAAGCGTACTGAGGAGAGGCCCTGGGGGAGGTTTCTTGGGCTGCTAACGGACTGTAACTTTCTGCGTTGCAGGGCAACGTGTACGTCAAGTGTCCCTCGATTGCTGCTGCCATTGCAGCTGTAAACGCGTTGCATGGGAGGTGGTTTGCAGGTGAGTGCATTGCACCGAGAGACCTACAGTTATTTGTTAGTTACTGAAATCACCAAATGCTGATTTTTATTTTTTTTAATTGTTCCGATTAGGTAAAATGATTACAGCAGCGTATGTACCTCTTCCAACATACCATAGCCTTTTCCCAGATTCTATGACTGCGACCCAACTACTGGTTCCCGTTCGACGATGAAGATGGATTTAGTCAGTTTTGTACATAGTTATTTTTTTGGAGGAAGATTGAGTTATCTTTTATTTAGATAAAACTAAAGAAAAGGATTTAATGTCATTTTGTGTACACTTCCTGCTACCTTTAAAAATAAAATGAAGTAAGCAGAAATGCAGTGTGTTCATTCTCCCTAACTAGCATTTCCACTGTATACAAAGCTGTTGACTTCTTGTTCTGCCTTGTAATTCTTGTACATTTACTAAGGTGATCTGTAGGAACTGAGAAGTAGCTCATAGAAAACAAGTTCTCTGTAAAAGGCAGATGGGACATAATGACATTTTTAATGTTTCACAAGCCTTTCTTTTAATGCAGCAATTACATTTTACATTTCACTAAATGTAGGTGATCTGCTAAAGGTTGATACCAGAGATAGACTGTATGAAGGGACGTATTTAGTGTTTTGTATAAATGGGAAATTCAGAAGGCTACTGAAAGCTGACTCCAGGCAGCCACTCAGCTTGCTTTGTGCTGAATAATTGGTAAGAATAGAAGGATTAAAGGGTTTTATTTCTTGATGGTAACTTTTGATTAATGTATCTGTAAAAGTTTCTTTGTAAATACTGTGTGAGGTGTGTCTAAGTTTCCAAACAAAACGATCTCTGCATTTCCAGATAAGTTTCTATGTATGCAGCATGGCACAGTGAAGGATTTCAGCCGAGTCTGAAAATCGGTAGGAAATACAGAAACGTGTTTTGTTCTGGTTGCATATAATCTTTGCTCTTTTTAAGCTCTGTGAGCTCTGAAATATATTTTTGGGTTACTTCAGTGTGTTTGACAAGACAGCTTGATATTTCTATCAAACAAAGACTTTCATATTGCAACAATCTTTGTAAGAACCACTCAAATAAAATTCTCTTAAAAAGGCCTTCATGGAGCTTTATTTCTCCACTCTCCTAACGAGATGTCAGTGGTGCGTGCTGGAGAGTGGAAGCGAGTGACAGATGTTCAGAACACCACTTCACTGGAGAAGGTGTGGGAGCGGGGTCCTGCTGTTGGGAGCATCCTGTGTGCTGCAGCTGTGGATGTTACAGCCTGGGGCCTCCAGCCCTTCCTGGGGCTGCTGTGGGCTTGTTCTGGAGAGGGTGTCTCCCTGCCCACACCCCCCCCCACAAACTGTGGGAGTAATTTCTGGTGGCTTTTAGTCTGGTGGCTGTAGGGAAGCTGGCCCCATGGATTGCTTGTGGTCCCTGTCCCCACCTCCCTCCCCTCTGTAACTGCTGCACTTGACAAAGGTGTAGAGAGCACATTCCACCCCGACGGGTGACAGCGGGCTGGGTGGGGATGCTGCTGGTGCTCCCAGCCAGTGTGGCAGTGACCTGGTCTCCAGGTGCTGTTCTGGCTGGTGGTAGCTGCAGTGTGGCAAGCGATGGTCCAGCAACATGGGAGGAAATGGGACTGGATGGGGAAGGCAGCACAGGGAGGAGCCAGGAATGTACAGCAGGAGGGTGTCCTGGGACACCTGTCACAGCTGAAGGAAGCCAAGTAAATCTGCTTTCACATTTTGCTTGACCTTATGTTTTTAGTTGCTGGTATTGATGCACCAGTGCCATGTGAAGTAAAGCTTGAGCTGTTCCAGGGCGGCTGTGTTGCTCAACTTGGTGGTTGTTGGCAGTTTCTCTCTCAGAGGTTACTGAGCTGTGTGAGAACAGAGCAGGCTGTGGTGGATGGGTGTTTCTTCCTCAAACACTGGGGAACCACCACTTGTACTAGGCAAGGGCTGTATAGTGGGTGCTGCTAACCTGTCCTCTAATGTCCTCCAAGGAGGAGCAAAGATAAACCTTGTTTCAAAAAGCAAATAACAGCAGATTGCAGCACTAAATGAACATTTTGTAGTTGAGCTGTGGGCAGTGCCACAGGCTGGTGCATGGCAGGGAGCAATCCCCTGTTCTCTGCCTTGCAGCCCTGTGAGGTGGGCTGCAGGGAAGATGCTGTTCTGGGTAATAGGTTGCTGCAGGTGAAGCCCCTTTCCCTGCTGGGGGGATGAAAACAGC